CGCGCTGGGCCGCGGGCTGGGGCCGGGCCGGGGGCCGGCGGTGCTGGCCCGGGGGTGCTCGGCCAGGGGCCGGCACCCCAGGGCCTGAGCCGAGCCAGGCTGGAGACGCCGGGGCCGGCCGCCGGAGGGGGCCAGACTGGGCCGTGCCTCCTCCCCGCCCCCTTACCTGCTGCCTGCTTCCTGCTTCCCGCGAATCAAATGTTCGCGGGAAGCAGGGGAGGGGGCGGAGTTGGGGCGGGGACTTTGGGTTAGGGGGCGGAGTTGGGGCGGGGAGCGGGGCCGGGGCCCCGTGGAGTGTCCTCATTTGAGACACTCAAAATATGGTAACCCTAGCTAAACCCAGGGTTGTGAGTTCAATCCTTGAGGGGGCCATTTAGGGAACTGGGGTAAAAATCTGTCTGGGGATTGGTCCTGCTTTGAGCAGGGGTTTGGACTAGATGATCTCTTGAGGTCCCTTCTAACCCTAATATTCTATGATTCTTTGTAACAGCCCTTAACATAGTTGAAGACTGTTATCAGCTCCCACCTCAGTCTTCTTTTCTCAAGAATCTTGGGGAGAACTGTTAGGTCATCTAGTCCCTCTCCTTTTCTCTGATGCACAGTTGTTCCTTACTGAATATATATGTTAGTGCTTCATCATCTGTCCAGTTGAGATTTTAATGACCCAAGCCGTGAGCTTCCACCAGTTCCCTTGGAAAACTATTGCACACTAGACTTCAAATAACATTGGCAGCACCTTTGTGCTGCACAAATTGGCAGCACCACCTGCTGCACAAATAATAAATCGGTTGGTAATGAGTGGGCTGAGGGGCATAAACAACAGTTCATATTTTATAAAGCTAGTTACTGGAAAATTAACATTTATTCTCCTTTTCCTCCTTGACTTTAACCCACTTCCATTTTGTGAGTGTAACACTGGTGCTTAATTATAGTGACACCCGTTTGCAGTACCAGACTGCATCACTGTGTCCCTGTGGGGTCCTTCTAATGCCAGTATAATATGAAAGTGTCAGGCAGGCGGTCTGTGTATTATAAATAGGGTACTTCATCCATGATAAGCGATTATTATCTTTCTTTCCCAAGTGGAAAAGACCTATATAACTCAGGAAAGTGCGAGTGATTTAGCCCTCCTGAGTAAGAATCCAATGAGTCCTGAAGGGGACCCTACCTATGCCGTTATCTTGTTGTTCAACTTGAGATATTCAATTTATTATACGGGAATATATTTTCAGAAGTCAACGCTGGATAAAATAATGTTAGAGGCTGTTAGGCCAACAGTACAGCACAATTTAGTGTCCCTCTGTGATGGCCTTCTAAAAACCTTAATCACCTTTGGTAAAGAAGAAAACCACTGTTAAAGTTCACTGCCGTTTATGAGCAAAAGGTGTTATATTCTTGAATTATTTCAATTATTGAAAAAAAATCTGGATTTTTCCCCACTCTGTTTTGTGCAGTTTTGTGGTGGTATTGTTGTAGTTTAAGGTCCTAAATGCTGCAAACGCTTATACCATGCTTAATTTTAAGCATCCGAATAGTTCCATTGATTTGAATGGATATGCTTAACTTTACGTGTTTGAAGGATAGATGTGTAAAATTTTGACAGTGTTTCCACTGTTAGACATGCTTTTAAAGAAATTATAGCTAGGAAAAAAATTCTTCAGAATATGGGCTTTAAACCAGAGAAATCCCTAGAGGCTTAATTCTTATTTTGGCTAAGGATGCATCACCTCATATGGTATCTTGGAAAATTTGCTACTGTGTTTGCATTCGGTGTAGATAAATAAATAATAATGAATATTACTTAGCACTTACATAGTTTAAATTCATGAATATCAAAGCACTTTACAAAGGCAGTTAAGTAGCATTATCCCCATTTTACAACAGAGAAACAGATTCAAAGAGAGTTTAATTGAATCTGTGCGTGAGGGGACAGAACAGAGACATACTTACGCACTATGAAAGCAAAAGCAAAAGACTTTAAATATGTTTGTATTATTCACAGAATGGCCAGCAGTCCTGGAAGTAATGCATCCCTCTCCCGTGAGAAAACCATACTCTCAGAAAATTGTCAAGCAAAGAAATCGCAGTATTCTGAAGAGGAGACTTTTTATATGAACTGCAGAGCAGCCTACCTAGCTGTTTTTAAAAGCAGCTTAGAAAATATTAAATCAAAAGAACAACTCTGTTTAGGTAATGAGTAGGAGATAATTTTCTTTACTTGAATTTTGTGTGTGAAGATTACAGTAGTTGATTTTCAAACCAACAGCCAGCATTTCACTGGTGGAAATACCCCAGCGCGTAATGGAGCTTGGTCACAATAGCTTCTTTTAAGGATTCAGGCAGTTCTTGGTGGGGTTTGGGTTTTCAAGCATCAGTGGCTGTATCTATAAAGACACTTCCAAGGTTTATACCTATTATAAAATATATCATAGTTTTTCAAATAGTTTACAGAAAGTACTTTATCTCAATAGTTTTCATTTCCCTCAAATTCCTAATCTATATTACTAGGTATTGGATGGTTCATGGAAGTGGGAACGATATACAGAGCTTTTCACCTCTAAATCACCACTCTGAATGAGCAAAAGTCAATACCACCTATCAGCTACTGGGGGGCCTAAGTGAGTTATTTAACAGCAGCACATTTGATGGTGGCATCGTTGCCTACTTGAGGTGGGCCTGGATACTGCTCTGTGGTGGTGACATTTTGCAATAAAGTGTTTTCCTCTCTCTGACAAGTGATAAATTACAATGAGTTATTCTCAGTTCAGTTTCTCGTGGACAAGTGTCCCTAGCACAGAAAATCACCATGGCAACTGGCATTAATTGGCACAGTGGTTTGCAGTCTCATCAGAAAAGTTGTTAAATGAGAAATGGAGATTGACCTACCCTTTCACCCCGAGTCATGGTCCCCCAGATCAGGGTTGAGAAACACTGACTATGTGGTATGTGAAAATCTTTCCCTGCCTATGCTGAATGTGTTTTGTGCATAAATGGATGACTTCAGAGTTTCATAAGAACTACGTACATTATTTTTTTTAAAATATAAATGTACCTTAAGTTAAAGCACTTCTCAATTTCCTAAATTTCAAGCCAGATGTTTTATTCTTTTATCAATATTATTTTGGGCTGTCGATTAATCGCAGTTAACTCACGCGATTAAGTCAAAAAAATTAAATGCAATTAAAAAAATTAATCGCGATTAATCGCATCTTTAATCGCACTGTTAAACAATAGAATACCAATTGAAATTTATTAAATATTTTGGATGTTTTTCTACATTTTCATATGTATTGTATTCTGTGTTGTAATTGAAATCAAAGTGTATACTATTTTTTATTACAA